CATAGCCACCCTCCCCATTCTTACTCTTCTTCTGATTTCCTGACTGCAGTCCCCATTTCTATCAATGTTTGATCCCAGGTATGGGAATTGTTTTACTATTGCTATTTCTTCATTATCTAGGTTGAACTTGTGAAGGTCCTCAATGGTGATTATTTTTGTTTTCTTTATGTTCAGCATTAAGCCTACCTTTGCACTTTCTTCTTTGATCTTCTTAGTAGGTGTTCCAGGTCTGTGAGGTTTTCTGCTAGTATTATGGTGTCATCTACATATCTTAAATTGTTGATATTCCTTCCTCCTATTTTCACTCCTCATTCTTCTGTGTCCAAGCCTGTTTTTCTTATAGTATGTTCTACATACAAATTGAACAGATAGGGCAGCGGTTCTTAACCTGGGTTCGATCGAACACCAGGGGTTCGGTGAGTCAGTCTCGTGGGTTCAGCGGAAGTCAAGACACACATCCGATTCATATGATTTGTGATGACATGCCCCGCTCGTCCATCATTGGCTGCAGGTGATAACCTGTATACGTTTTATATGCCCCACTATTTATATGCCCCATCCAACCAAACCAGCTTGCCCCGCCTCCACCAACAGAAGTGGCCCTCTGATTGGCCATGTGGCATGATTGACAGCATGGCGGCCCACTCCCCTCACCGGATGGCGCTGATGGCCTGTCTGTATTGGCAGTAGAAGGGTTCAGTGAATGCGTAAGAATCGTAAGAAGGGTTCGGTGAATGCGCATATGAAACTGGTGGGGGTCAGTACCTCCAACAAGGTTAAGAACCACTGAGATAGGGTGAAAGTATGCAACCTTGTCTGACCCCTTTGCCAATTGGGAACCATTCTGTTTCTCCGTGTTCTGTTCTGACAGTAGCCTCTTGTCCTGAGTACAGATTCCTCATCAGGACTATCAGATGTGCTGGCACTCCCATGTTTTTAAGATGGTATGATAGCCATCTTTAAATGGAGTAAGCATGTTTTTTGCTGCTCCAGATGGCAGCACTCAAGCCACAGTTTCAAATCACAAGAAAAGGAAATTTTGACTGAACATTAGGAAGACCTTCCAGAAAGAAAAGCTATTCCACTGTGGAATAAACAACTGCAGAAAGTAGTCAACTCCCCATTGTTGGATGTTTTCCACCAGATTAGCTGGCCAACTCTCACAGTGCTTTAGCAATGGCTCTTGCATGACAGGGGGTTGGATTAGATGGCCCTTGGGATCCTTCCCTTTCAATGATTTTGTTATCTAGGTCTCTTGCTGTTTCTTTTATTCAAAGGTGCAGAGCTTAAGGAGGAAGGGAAGGGGAGAAAGAAAAAGGAATGTGGTAGCATTGACACTTTAAAAGCAACCAAAAAAGTGGGATGGCAGAGGATGACTGACCCTCCCAAATTGGGACAGTTGTGGGGTATGGATATCTGGGAATATAGGAGGCTTCATTTTCCACTCTGTTCTGTTGAGAATAAATTAGAGATAATGAAAATGACATCTTAATTATGCAGCAGGGTACTGAGTGACTACAGGTAAAGACCTACTTCTCTCTTCCCTTTCCGCAATTCAGATATGGCTCCTGACAACAATCGGCATTTTGCTAGTTAATAATAAACTCTGCCTCTTTTCTGCTTTAATTCATGTATTGGTTGTTTTGCTGCAGGGAAGTACACAGCTGGAATTATTACAGCGCTCTTAAATCTCAGAAGGGAGCCCGTTCAGATGTGAAACTTTTATTGATGGGACATGGGGTGGCAGTGGGGTGAATCCAGCTAGTCTGATGTCGGTGTTTCTATTAGGATTTCACCCAGGCGGGTTGCTCAGCTGCAAACCCTCTCCTTCTCCAGAACAGCAGGGGAGGTCTAGACAGAAGCTGCTGGTTTTATTTATTGTCTTGCCAGTTCCATATAGAGTAACTATGCAGAGCAAGCCGTTGCCTTCCTATTCCCAGCTCAGAAGGCTGGTAACTTTGCACTGCATTGCTGAATACTTGCCAACTCTGGTACTCCTGGACTTTCCCAAGCAGAAAATACAAAGCTTGGAGCACCTGCCTTTGCAGGAGAAAGAGAGGTGACTGCGTCAGGAGGAACCATCCAAGAGAAAAGATTCCTACACAGTCCTTTAGTTTTAAGGTGAAGAAAGAAAGCTACAAATATATTTAAATTAGACTAGAATGGTGCCAAGGAAAATAAATACTTAGCAACTCTTTATGTATTACATCAGTACCATTAGGACTTATGAATGGTGCAGTGTAAAGGGCTTTTTAAAGAAGCCATCCATGCTCTTTTTGAGGTTGCTCCATTTCATACCACTGCACCAGTTTTCTGTTTTTTCCTAAGAGATGTTGAATGTTCTATGCCCATTATACTCAGTTTTCCCTTAGACTTTTGGAATTTCCCTTTACACCCTTAGGGTAAGAAAATTAAACTTAAAGTAATTTTAAAATTTGTCATTGTTGTGTGCCTTCACACAGCACAATAGGTTTCCAACCCTAAGGCTGGGGTTTTCTTGGCAAGATTCATTCCGAGGAGGTTTGTCATTGCCTTCCCCTGATGCTGAGAGTGTGTGACTTGCTTAAGGTCATCCAGTAGGTTTCATGGTTGAGCTAGGAATTGAATTAAGGAATTCCTGGTCTCCAGAGTCATAGTCCAACACTCAAACCACCCCACCATGCTGGCTCTTAAATCTTAAATTGCCTTAAGTTTAATAATGTTTAATGTAATTTTTAAATTGAGCCAGTTTGATGTAGTGGTTATGTTTCTGGAGACCAGGGTTTGAATCCCCACTTGGCCACCCCATTGGGTGACCTTGGGCAACTCACAATCTCTCAGCCTCAAAGGGAGGCATAGGCAACTCACAATCTTCTTCTTCTTCTTCTTCTTCTTGTGTGCCTCCAAGTCATCCTGGACTGGCCAATTAAACTTTGCAAATGAGTCTACAATGATATACAGATAGCAGAGCTTTAATTTTTAGGATCAGGATAACTTTCTTCTATTGAGGGCTGTATTCTCTTAGGGCTAATCTGTCATAGGCTATTTGTTCACCCTGGCCCCAATGAGAGTTTAGAAAAGTTATGTTTTAGATGCTAATCTCCAGGTCCCCCAGCCAGCATTAGAGATTCTGGGTAATGTAATCCAAAAATCTTTCTGGGGCCAGAGTCAAAAGTTGAGCACCAGCTCTTTCTCTTTTCTCCCTTTCTTTCTTTCTTTCTTTCTTTCTTTCTTTCTTTCTTTCTTTCTTTCTTTCTTTCTTTCTTTCTTTCTTTCTACTAGAGCAGTGGTGTCATCCCCCTTTAGAGTGTCATCCAATGTGGTCCACACTACCTGCACCCCCCAGTGATGCCCCTGTCCAGCAGCCACCCTATTGCTGTACATGGGACGCATGGTGGGTTTTTCCATTTCCAACCTACCTTGGGGCATGTAGAAGGTCACTACCAGTCGATGGGCTGTCCCTTTCCCACCCCAGGCCTGTACCACTGCTGCTAGGGTTTGTGCAACAAGATTGGTGAAACATAGGATGTTATTACACAGGGAGCTCCGAACAGAAGCCGGCTTTAAAGTGAAAGTGCTACCGCAAAAGAGGAAGCAATTAATTAGCCTGCTTTCCCCGTGTGAAAACCTCCTGCGCATTTAAAAGGAGGTTATTCCGAACGGAAAGTAGGCAGAAACTGCTTCTTTTTATTTTCGGAAGATCTCTACTTAAAATCCCCACATTTCTTCATAAAAAAGAGGGAAAGAAATCTCATACCTTCCAACATTTCACAGATGCTAAGTGGGGCATGTGTGTCTAAGCAACACCAGAGTGTGGTCAAGATGGCAAAAGGTATTAATGAGGAAGGGCACGCAAGCTAGGAGAGGTGGCAGCAGTTTGCTTTTGCCTCAACCTCCTGGGAAGGACAAGATTCCACTCCCTCCTCTGCTTTGAACACAGTTTACAGCAACTGACATAAGCTGAAGACAAACGTGAAAGTGGAAGGAGGAGAGAGAAACTGGGACATTTGAAAAGCAGTTGAAAAAGTGGGAAGACAGAGGATTAATCAGGACCGTCCCTGCCAAATCAGGACAGTTGGATGGTATGCAATCTGAGTGTGGGATAAAGCAAAGCAGATTTGTCCATCAAGGCAGAAAGCTTTCAGGATTTAGTTTTTAAAAATCTAATCAAATCCTTGTGAGCTCCACCTATTTGTTTAGAGTTGCACAGATTCATCATGTTTAACTGTGTGTGCAAAGCTGCTCTGGATATATTTAGTGTATGGTTTTACAACTATTTTTCAAGAGTTGTTTTAGTCAGTTTTTGAAAGTTTTTATTAGTATGTTTAATATTTTAAATGTTTTGTCCTTTGTAGCTTGCCATGGGGACCCTGGTCAGTTGACAGGCAATAGGCTGATGGGTCTGCAGCAGCACCCTGATAGTGGAACACTCTCCTTAAGGAGGTCAGATTGGCTCCATCCCTTTTGAGTTGCCAATGAAGACTATACTCTTTTTGAATCTTAAAATTAGGAGTGTCTGCCCTGGTTGTTTTAAAAATTGTTCATAGAGGTATGTTTAAAGATGTTTTGAAAACTGTTGTTGTTGTTGTATGCCTTCAAGTTGTTTCCGACTTATGATAACCCCAAGGCAAACTTATCAAGTGAGATTTGTTCAGGGATTTGTCATTGCCTTCCCCTAAGGCTGAGAGAGTGTGACTTACTTAAGATCACTCGGTGGGTTTCACGGCTGAGCAGGGAAACAAACCCTGGTCTCAAGAGTTGTAATCCATCACTCAAACTGCTACTAGGGCTATTTTTTTAAAAAAAAGTGAAGTATTTTAATTGATATCGATTGATTGATTGATTGAAAAGTATTTTGACTTTTGAAAAGTGTTTTGAAAAATGAAGAGCCAATAAATAAATAAATAAATTCCTTAAATAAATCAATATAAAATTCTACACACTCCTCTCCATGCTAGGAATGACTACTTATTGAGTATGGGTGGGAAGTTCATTTGATACATTTGTTTTGCTATATAAATGGCTAACATGATGTAGTGGTTTGAGCCTAGGGCTATGACTCTGGAGTCCAGGGTTCAAATCCCTGCTTGGCCATAGAAACCTACCAGGTGACCTTTGGCAAGTCACTCTCTCTCAACCTTGGAAGAAGGCAAAGAAACCTCCTTGGAACAAAGAAAACTGCATGATAGGTTTGCCATAAGTCAAAAACAACTTGAACACACACAACAGCAAATAAGAACATATTCTTTTGCCCAGTAGGTGGGAATACCTTTTTGAATGCATGTGAAGAAAAACAGAAATGATAGATTTGTCCATTTGGAGCCCCAGGTTGCTCACCTTTGCTCTGTTACTTCTAGAGCCCTCCTTTCCCAGCCAAAGTAAATCTGGAAAGAGGAAAGGAGCAATTCTACAGTGAACAGGTTCCTCAATGCTTTGATGGCAACAAATGAGGAGGGAGAGAAGATGTCCTTCCCAGAGACACTTTCACAAAACTGAGATGACTTTGCACGAACAAATTCTGTGTGATGTTTTCTTCTGAAATGGGTGTCATTTTTTCCTCTCTCATAAACAACAGCAATCCAATTTGACAATAGCCAATGTTTTATCATGCTTGAGGTACCAGACTACTGAAAATAACAAAATAGGCTCTTTCTTTCTCTCTCTCTGTCTGGAAAAGAAAAGAAAAGCATCAGAAGAAAGTAGCAGCTCCCTTGTGGGAATGCTGCTGCACATCAAAAAGATAGAGCTGTTGTGTTCAGCTTTATTTGCAACTTTTCTTTGGAAATAAGGTGTGTGTGTATGGGGGGGGGGGAGTAATGGTGATGGGAGCAGAGTGAGAAGAATGGGACATGACACAGAACAACAACTGGTTCAGTAATGTCAGCCTTTTCAAATGTTTGAATCCAGAACAAGGACCCTTCTACCCCGAAAGCTGTCTGATAAAGAAACTGACAAAACTAAAGAGAGAGATGGAAGGACTTCTTTTATTTTCTCTTTCATTCATATATGGTATATATAAAAATTGATCCAGCTTGTTGATAAAATGGCTTACAATTTAAGATACAGTACCCAGGATCCCACATGAAGGAGCAGGAACATAAGTTTATGCTCACGGAGTCACACTGCAGTTGTGTACTCCTACCTCACTAAGGAATTGTAACAATGCACAACCAAATATGCAACCCAATGCACAGTGCTCATCAATGTGCAACACTCAGGCACACCAGTGAGGAGCTTATCACTGTGCAACACTGCAGTACATGTATCTGTAGCCTTCAACATTTCACAGATGAAAACCAGGACACATTTAGCCAAACAACAGCAGAGTGTAATCAAGATGGCAAACATGATTAATGAGGAAGAACACACAAGATAAGAGCAGCTGTAGCAGTTTGCTTTTGCCTGAGTCTCCAGGAAAGATTTTTCTTACGCCCTCCTTTCCCTGCTGCTAAGTTAATTACCGTAATTGCTAGCTACTTTTTTATATCCCGCCTTTCTCCCAAAACAGGATTCACTTTGAACTTGCTTTAAACCGTTTGCAGAAAATGAAGTAAGCTGAGGACAATGGGGGACATGGTAAAAGGAGAGAGAAACTGGGACATTTTAAAATCAGTTGAGAAAGTGGGAAGGCACTGGAGTAGTCGGGACTATCTCTGTCAAACCAAGATGTTTTAGTTGTGCACTTTATTGGCAAAGGGTTGCTCTGGATAGGCTTCTGTGTATACAAATTTTAAAATCAGAGCTTAGAAGCTGGTTTTAAAAGGTACTGAGTGATTCATTTAATGTTTAAGGAAAGAGAACAGAGAGGAGGCTAACCTAGTCTACTGTGGGAAAATGTTCCATAGTCTGGGAGCAGCCATTGAGAAGGTGCTCTCCCATGTCCTCACCGCTGAGGTGGCTGTGGGACTAAGAAAAAACCCTCCCCTGAGGATCATAAAACTCAGACAGACAATAGGCAGATATTAACTTTTAGACTGTTAGAACCTAAGTGAAATATAGCTTTATGTTTATTATATAGTATTCACAGACATCATAGAAACCTAATGCTGGAAGGGGTTTCTGCCTATCCAGAGCAGCCCTTTGCCTATACCTTGCACAGCTAAAGCACCCCTGAGAGGTGGCCATCTAACATCTACTTAACTTGTACTTAAAACCTCCAGTAAAGGAGAATCCACCATCTTCTAAGGTAATCTTTTCCAACACTGAACAAGTTCTTCTCAATATTTAGTTGGAGTCTCCTTTTGTGGAAAAGTCTGCCTTGGCAGTTGGTGAACTCTCCTTTGCTGGAGGTTTTCAATTGGAGCGGATCTTAATCTCTGAAGCAGCAGAAAATAAGCTTGGTCCAGTTTCAACATGATATTCTTTCATGTATAATATTATTTTTAATCTTCTCTTCTCCAAGCTGAACATATCTAATCTTTGCAATTATTTCTCATTTCCCTTTTAATCTAAGGGCATTCTTTCTAGATCTTTCTAGATCTTTTACCATCATGGTCACCTTCGTCTAGAATCTTCCTTTATCATCAATAAACTTCCCAAACTATGGTGCTCAGAATAGGACACAGTATTACAGGTATCACCAAAACAGAATGGAGCAGTACTATTATTTCCCTTGATCTGGACACTATGTTCCTGTTGAGGCTGCCTAGAATTATGTTGGCTTATTATTATTTTTTACTGCCATATCAAACTATAATAATAATAATAATAATAATAATAATAATAATAATAATAATAATAATAAATTTTTATTTATAGCCCACCCCTCTGCAGGCTATTCGTTCATGTGTTAGCTAGTGATCTACTAAGACCGCTAGACCCTTTTCACACATATGCAGGACTGGTGGTTCTTTCTTTGTAATGAACCTCTTCATCTTTTAGTAAAATGTACATGTTGCATAACCTTACGCATAAATTCCCTAAAGTCATCAGATCCCATCTGATCTTGGAAGCTAAGTAGGTCAGTTCTGGTTAGTACTTGGATGGGAGACTGACAAGAAATACCAGACGCTGTTGCCTCTATTTCAGTGCAAGGAACTGGCAAAACTACCTCTACCTTCTCTAAGAAAACTCTATGAAATTCATGGGGTTGCCATCAGTTGACAGATTGCTTGGACACACACACACATACACATCTATGTGTTGACCCTTTGTAATTCCAACAAAAAGCTTACCCCACACCCAGAAGTGATGAGAAAATAAGCATGGAAACAGATCCTATCATGATGATCTCTGAGTCTGTTTTTTTTTTTTTTTTTTTTTTGTAATGGGTTGTTATTTCATTTCATTTAGATCCCAGGTTCTCTCAATAATGAGACCCAAGGCAACTAATCTAATGAGAAAAGTAATGAGGATTAAAAAAAGCAAAATAAATAAAAAATTTAAAAACTACCTTCCCGTCACTTTTCTTGCATGCATTTTCAATGTTTTGTGTGCCTACTTCTATTTTATATATACATATATTCTAGCAATACTCCATTGGTAAAGATTATTCAAAATAGTACCAGGCCTTTAAAAAATTGCCTTCCATCCCACTACACTTCAGCTATTTGAGTCAGATGTTACTGTGCTGAAAGCAGCTGCTATTGTGATGATAAATCTGTGACTTTCTATTTGGAGAACATACTAAAGTCCGACTTCCATAATGATGCATGGAAACACATTCGGTGCTAGAAAACACAAAAATAAATTTAGTAATCCTTGCACCACATTGCTACATATTGAAAAGAATGGCAGTGTTCCTCCTCCTCCTCCTCTCCATGACTCACATCTTCCAAAAAAGCTTAAAAAGTCTAAGGTGAATATTCCCTCCCCCCTGGATATTACTGTGATTTTTCTTTTCCTGCTACCTAACTGACTTGGCAGTGTAAATCTTATAGCACCATGTATATTCATGTCTACACAAAAGCATGTCTGCACAAATATATGCCCCACTGAGTTCCATAGGATATGGGGCCAGCTAAGCCTGTACAGCAGTGGTCCCCAAAATTTGTGGGTGACAACCCTGGTGACACATCCTTTGCCTAGTTCTTGATAATAGGTACCTGCCTAGAGGAGCTTACAGTTCCACTGGAATGGGCTGACCAGAGGCCCTAGGTTAGGAACAGAAGATGTACTTTGCATGTAGAAAATCTCAGGAGATGTATGAGCAAGGGACAGAAAGCCCTATGATTTTTAATAGGAAACACACACACACACACACACGACTTTCTATTTGTAAAAGGAATCATCTCCATGATACAGCATTTTCTACCCCATCATACTACCTTATCACACGGGGTCTAAAGCAGAGCTAATCCAAAGGGT